GAAAAGTGTAGAGCCCATGGCCTGGAACTAAATCCAGCATTGTATCCATAAATAGCAATAGAAAGCCATCTTACCTTGTTGCATCATTCAGCTCTCTGTAATCTACAGAAATGCAGAGCTGATTATTCTTCTTCTTAATGACTACAATTGGAGAAAGCCACTCACTAACTTCCATTTCAAAGATAAAACCAACTCACAACAACTTCTCAATCTCTTCTCTCACAGTTTTGGAGTAATGGGGATTAGAGTGATAGGGTTGTTGACGCACTGGCACAGCACCAGGAACTAGAGGAATAATATGAACAGTTAGAGCTGGATCAATCCCTTTCATGTCCTTGTCAGTCCATGCAAAAATATCTCAATAGTTAGACAACAACTTCACTAAACTCATCTGCTTCTCATAATCCAATTGGGCACCAATCTTCACCACCCTAGAGCTTCCTGGCATCCCCAGATCCAAATTGATCAACTCGGGAGGCTTGATAAATCTCAACTCCTTTCCAACTTGTATTGTTGGCTCTTCATAAATTGCAAAAGATTTTTTTGCCACCTCAACTTGCAAAAAAATGTTCTAGATATTGTAATAGCTTAGCCTCGTCTGAAAGCTCTGGAACTTCAACTTGTACCATGCTACATACCACATCCCCTTTCCATAACCAATGCTTCAAACGATCACTACTAGAATCCCACTCAAAAGGGGACAATGCCAAGTTGGCATAATTTATCATTTTCTCTTTCTGGACCAGAGTTACTTCTTTGTCCTCTTCTTAGTCATCACTAGAACCTGAATTAGAGCAAGAATTCTCCTCTTCCTCACTACCAGAAGTAATATCACTGATGTTATCATCCCTCTCAATTTCCACTGGCTAGTTTGACTTTGACACTTCTCAAACACTAGCTTGAATCTTGCATTTGAAATTTCCACTTTGAATCCTCATCAAGCCTTTATGATAGTATTGAGAAGCATCAGCTTGCACCAACAAGGTCGGCCTAGAAGTCATGGATGAGTTAATTCACCAAGACTCATCCTAAGAATCACAAAATCCATGTAAAAGTTCAGCCCTACTACATCCATCTTCA